CCTTCTGCACACAGAAGTTTTCGGCTGTAGACTTGAATCCGAAATGCCTAGGAACTGACAACACAACAGGCAGCATTATGCTCCTTCACAGTGAAGGATCTTCAAAACTCATTAACACTGAATACAGACATCTGAAGTGCATCTGAAGTGTGTTATTTGAAGCTGGACTCTTCTCTGCATGATCTGTCAAATCTGATCTTATTTTAAATTGCAGCTCACAGAGGAAAGGACTCCAAAGACCTAAATTTAGCTAAGACTTAACATGCTTGCTAAAATCTAAACAATGTTAGCAATTACTCATGAAGCATTCTTTCTAGTAAATCAGAACAGAAATGGCTTCTTTTTATACAGTGCTATTTGGAGTATCTCTTATTTTTATATTCTGAACTTTAGAACAAGCCCATACACTTTTCAGAAGGTTTCACCAGTCTGTTTTACCCCTAGGACATGTCCCACCATCAATTATAGACCCAGTCCATTAAAAAGTTCTTATGGATATCTTTAGGAATATTTTAGGTCCTAAAATAAAATAAATTACAGCTCATCTTAGAAAATGAGAGAAAATGAGGAAAAGTAGGATGAAAAAACTAAATCATGACAATATGAAAAAACAAACCCCTGACAATATGCAAAACAATCCTAAAAAGAAAATATTAGTGTCTCTGTTCCAAGTGAGCTCACTTATTCCTTGTGAATGATGTGATATGCACCTCAAGAACAAATGGAATGCAATATTCTGCTACCCTTACACATACTATATCATTTAAATTCCCTACTGTGGTGAATTAACCACAGCCCGCAGCTAAGCCCCTACCCAGTCACTCTCATTCCTCTCTCCTGGAGGGATGGAGGAGAGAACTGGAAACGCAACAGTAAGAAAAAAACCCACACATGGGTAAAGATGAAATGATGCAAAGTAATGCTGTAAATGATGTAAAACAATCATTTACATAAAATCATTCACCACCTCCCACCAACAGACTAATGTCCAGCCAGTGTCCAAGCCATGGTTACCCTGAAAAAACTGCCCCTCGCTCCCTGCCCCCAACAGTTTTATTGCTGACCACTTTCCATATGGCCTTGACTACATCTTTGGTCAGCTAGGGTCAGCTGTCCTGGCTGTGTCCTTCCCAACCTCTTTCCCAACCCAGCAGCCTACTTGCTGGGGCAGTAAAGTGAAAGAACAGAGAAGGGCTTGATGCTGTGCAAGTACTGTTAAGCAAAACATTGCTATGTTAAACAATATTGCTTTGGTAACAAGTCTAAAACACAGCACCATACACACTGCTATGAAGAAAATTTACTCCATCCCAAGCAGATCCAGTATACATACATCAGAATCACTGTCATGAGAATACAGCATCAAAACCCTGGAAAAGCGATACTAGATTTGTTCCAACACCTTTGGAATCTTTTTTTCTTTCTGTTTTTCATTGATCAACATTTAAAGTTGCAAGAGCTATTATCACATAATGGCCATATAAGAAAATACATGGAAAAGGAAAAAATAAGCTTATCTTGACAAAAGCAGCTTTGCAAAAAGGATCCTCATGTCCTGTACAGTAATTCTTCCACCATCAGTCGAAGCTGCCAAATCTTGCATGAGGAAGTGATATTGTTAAAATGCATGACAACACCCTCAAGCAACTTCCAGTCAAATGAGATAAAAATGGTAACATTTTTTAAAGGAAAAGACTAGCTAAAGCCTTGCAGTGAGACCAATATCTAAATGTTATCAAGATTTGGTTCAACATGTACTATCCAAATCTCTGCACAGGAATATCTCTAAGCTTTAGTGTGGCACCACAATTTGATTTCACTATAGCTTTTCAAGCTAACATGTCTATCAAAATGTTAATCACCTAGGAGCAGTACTTCATTTCACATCTACATTTAAAAATATAAAGCTAACAAACTGGCTCTTAACAAAATCTATAATCCAAGTATCTATTTTCTGTACTGCTATTCTTTGGTATTCCATTTACTATTCTTTTCCTCTTGCTCTTCACCTGCTTGTTCACTATTTTATTTTTAGTCTAGTTTGCAAGCTCTTTGCTGTACAAAGCAGCACAAGCACATTTTCTGTAATTAAATATGTAGTAACCATAGTTCAATGCTGCAATGCAGCAATGCAGCCCGAAGTTCTCTCTTTTATTGCGCCCCTTAAGTATTGGCCAGTCTAGGTACCAATATTCCTTGCTTCATTACCCCCTTATCCCATATTTATAATGCTACAGTTCTGCCTCAAATACTTGAAGTGCTATAGCCTCTCTTCTGAAGTTCAACATATGTTATCTGAGGCCAAAGACAGAGTATCTCCTGCCAAGACCTTACAAGGTACATAACTGACACTGCAGCTGGCCTTGTGTCTGTTCCCCACTTGAAGCACAGAACCTGAGACAGCAACAACATTCTTGTTGTTTGATCTGATGTGTCATTCACTTTCCCTTTCCACAATATTAATATGGTCCCTTCTCAGAACCAAGTAAAAGATGATATATGTACAAAACAGGGCTGGTCATGCCAGTTCTTCCATCACTCTGACAGGTACATGAAGGGTACCCCCTGGCCAAGAATTCCAGGTTTATATGGAACTTTTCTGCAGCTAGTATAAACATCAGTATAAACAACTGATTCTTAAGAAACTTATTAATATTACAAAGCTGTGTATGAGGTAAGGTTAAAGATATCTCCCTCAGTAAAAGAACTCAAAGATACTAACTTCATTGTTGAACACTGTGCTGTGAAACATGGCAAAGCAGCAAATAAAGCATGACATAAAGTCTTACTCTGTGGCTAGAAGCTGTAGTGTTAAGCAGTTAACAGAAGCATATTAACAACATAAAAATGGAACATCATACTTCGGTACAGTAAGACAACCTCATTATGCAACTGTACAGTACTGTTAACCATGCCTCAGCCTGCTCGACTGGTAAAGAATTATCTCACTTCATGGAGATACGGGGAAGACTGATAAGCATTTTAAAAATGCCTTAAAATTTGCTAGTGTAAAACACTATTTAAGTACTGGCCTATAAGTGAAGTTGATGTTGTTGCAAAGTGACATTTTAGGATATTTTGCACATGGTTTTGCATATCTATAACCTTAAAACAAATCTTTTCAGAATGCATGCATGTCACTCTCACTCCCCTGCTAGATGATGTGCAGTCTCAATGACTACACCCACACTCAGAATGACAGCAAAAAATCCACAAGTGAAGAGACTTCTTTCATTGTCTGGCAGCACAGAATTCATAAGGCACAAACTGTAAACAGCTGCCTATCAGCTTCTATCAGCAATAGTATCAAAAACAGATGGCAAAGGTCAAGTCAAAGTTTATTGACAATGATGAACTTTGACAGCCTCTATTAAATTACTTCTTCCTTTAAGGTGTATGTGATCAAAGCAGCAGAGAGATTTTCACTCAGTCACATAACAAGCTATTTGTTGAGATTGAAACATCTGGTCAATATCTTCTAACACTGCAATTTCATGCACAGTTAGCAAAAGGGTACATTTCTTCTCTTCTTCTTACAGGGTCCATAAGGGTTGCACATATGGCTGCTCATTTCATTCAAAAAGGTTTCAATTCCGGGCATTATACACAATTGTACCTATGCTTTATAGTATTTTAAGTCTACCTACCATCATTTTTCATCATCACTGCTGTCTGCTCTGCTCTTTGTTATAAAAGACCACAAATATGACAGAACACTTAAAGCTTAACAGCTTTTGACTACTAGAGTTAGAAAGCAGTTAAGGCAAGGGAGTTTTTGAAGTGGCAGGTCTTCATCTATCTGTTGTCAAGAATTCCCAATGCATTAAATTATTTACCAAAGCTCTAGTAACACAGATTTTATTTTTTTTTAATAGCAACCCCTTCATTTATGAGGCATTCCCAAGCAATTAGATATCACCCTTTTTAATAATTTATAAATGATATATTTTACAAACATAACATACAACACACATTATATTTCAAGTGAACATGTGATAATTATGAGAATTTGATGAATCACAACCCTCTTTTTCAATCTGAAATAGAAAGACACAAAATGTTATCTATCCTAAATGCTGAGAAATGCTTGCCTTTAAAATTATGCATCTATGTTGCCACAGCAACAAGTAGTGGATAATGTGAAATGTACTTCACCCTTTCATTTCTAAATCCCAATCTTTTTGGTCAAAAGAGAACAGAGAGCTAGTTGTAAACATACCTACAGAAAGTACATTTCAAAGAATATTAAGTTACTATTAAATAACCTTCATTTTTATTCAGTTAATGGTTGATTTCCACAACTCATTCTCACACTAGCTCACTCCAAGTAGTATCTGAACCTTAAGGGTTTACCTAGCAGTTCTAGGAAGACATTGGCCCTGAAGCTCTTCAATATAATTAAGAATTGTGCCTGGATACTGCACCAAAGACATAACAGAGAGGTGAGCAGGGAAGGGAGAAGGTAGGTAATCTCAATGTAGGAACATCTACAAAATGCTTGAACAGAGATATCCTTCAGAGATGCCACTGAAGATGCCTGGGCTTTTCTGGAGGGTGCACTAGTTTTCGGCACTATGGCATTTATTCAGTAGTACCACATTGTTCTGAAGGAATGGGATGCACAACATTAAAATTAAGTGAAAAAAAAAGAAATCAAAATTGTCCACTAGAAACAGATGGGTTTCATATAAATATCAAGATACAGCTTACAGGTAACAGAGTATATTTACAGGTGGTAAACATGAGCCTAAATAAGAGCCTGTCACACCATGCCACAAAGGCAGACAATCAAGTCAGGAAAGCAACTAATTAGCTGTCACTTAGCACTAACAACAGTGGTGTAGAAATGAAGCAGTTAGCCAGAGTCTGTTTTTATATGAATGCAAAGGAGGGAATATTCCAGGAGCTCCAAAAGAGCTCAGAACTGATGGGATTAGCACTATCAAACTGCAATCTTTTTTTCAAAGAAGCACACAACAACCCCACCCAGTTACAAAGGGTGTAAATTTAGCCTGAACTTTACTGTATGTGTACAGCAAGGCTTATAGTATTATGGTGGAGCATTCCGCCTAGGCTGGTAGGAAGTTTGTTTCTTCCAGAGTTAAGAAAGAAGTTTCTCCAGAAGAGATTAGGAGGACACAAATTAATTAAAAATAATAATAATTAAAAAAAAAATAAATCTGGTGCCTCTCTCTCTTCAAGGCTTTCTCTCACTAGACCAGGAGCCCTCTGAGTGACCAAGATGAAACTTTGAAAAGGTGGTATTAGGTTTTGAATCGACCCTATTAGGAATCAATGTTTCAGGATTGGCCTCTCACAAGAGTTACCCCATGTAGTCCATCCACGGTTCCACCTGGAAATGCCCATCTTCAAGGTTCAATATTCTTTAGGAATAATTCCTCTTCTAAAGAAGAAAAATGTGAACCAACTGAAAAATAACTACCTTGAAACAGGCAAGTCTCAGAAAAGCCTGCCTCTGGATTCCTCATGTGTTACTTCTAACCACATTTAGTGGTAGCACACATTCCAGGCTGGGATCTTCCAGGGGAATACTAGATGCACAGTGTGTATGTGAGCAATGACTTGGAGAGGAACTCATACATGCCCTCACAAATTAATAAAAGCCATAATATTCCCAACAGAAAGTACTCACTTCCTCGAAATTACATGTTACTGAAACAAATCCATTATTATGTTTATTGCTTTGTGTACAAACATTGGTGCCTTAGCTTTAACTATTCAGAAAGGAGTAAGAGAATGTTCAGATAAAAGAAATATATTTGCACATTTCTAAATTACCTTTCAGCTTCTTATTCCAGTACCAACCAGATATAAAATCAATACAGAGTATCAACTGCACAAGAAATACTTATTTCATATTATTTCTTCCTTACTGCCATCAAGAAGTCTGGGAAAATGTCCATTGCATGTAAACTCCATTTGGTTAATTTATCTGCAGAGGAGGTTCAACAGCTGTCAATAGAGGAGTCCCATAGTTGTCAGGCCCTGAGCCCATACCCTGGAATTGCCCTGTTCACCAATGGAAGGCCAGATACAGTCAGGCTCTGCATGGGACTGCCCATGCAAACACCAGCCTCTGGATGCACCAGCCACGCATGGGCAGGAAGTAGGGCACTGCACCAGGCACACTCTGCATGCTGCATGGCTCCAGCTCCTTTCTCCTGTCCAGGACTTCTGGGGTAGAAATTTTGTAGCCCAGTGCAAAGAACTTCTTCAAGCCATTATGTCAGATGCTTTTGCTAACCACTTAGAGGACAGATGGCATGCTGTTCCTCCACAGAAGGTAATATCATCCACTCATGTAAATAGATGGGTTTTATTCTGTTGACCAATACCTGAACGGCAACAGCTTTATTCTTCCTATTTCTCCACTGCCTAAGCATATAAATACTGTATTGTATTTGCTCCAGTTCACAAGAATCACTCCTCCCCTTTCCAGTTTAATCCATAATACCACTAGATTTGCTGTGGTAGGACAAGCAATACCTTTGTCAAAAAAATTTGCCAGAAACTGTAAAGATACTACATTCTAATTCCCAAGATATAAAGCAAAATAGTAAATCACAATTATTTATTATAGCTTTAGATTACTTTTAAAATGATGTACTCATTTCACAGCAATTTTAATATTTATAATGATTTTAAACTTTTTTTTTGTTATAACAAATGTATGACAGAAGTCACATATAATTATGTGCAGTTGAAAGCAGCACTTGGCACTACCTGAATTTGTTGGCTCAAGTGCTCTAGTGAGTCCAAATAATTTTCACAGAACAAATAATCTAGTTGCCAACTCTTACGTACTTCTGAAAGGGAAGTGCAAATATCTCTTAAATTTGTTTTTTCCTGAATTCAATCATGGCTATGACACTCGACACTTGACTCCCATGATCAGCTCAGCCTCAGCACGAACTCCCAGACCTAATTTGGCAGGAGTGGAAGGCAAGGGAAACCTTACACTTATTAGAATTCTGGTTTTGACCCAGAGAGACCCAAAGAGAGACACCAGAGAGACCCAAAAGAGAGTCAACTTTATCATTCTTGGCTTCAAGAAATCACAGGATTAGGCCTGATGAACTTTCTTATCTTTTGCACAAAGGGGATATACTGTTTTCAAATCCTAATCTAAAATCAAAATTAACAAAAAGAACAAATACACACACAAAATGCTAAGGAGCTAATACTTTACTGACAACTGTACAGATCTGCTCCATTTAATACTGAGTGAGCTGTATTGTGAAGTTAATAGAATCATAGAATAGAATCATAGGTTAGGGTTGGAAAGGACCTTAAGATCATCTAGTTCCAACCCCCCTGCCGTGGGCAGGGACACCTCACACTAAACCATATCACCCAAGGCCTCGTCCAACCTAGTCTTGAACACTGCCAGGGATGGAGCATTCACAGCCTCCCTGGGCAACCTATTCCAGTGCCTCACGACCCTAACAAGAAAGAATTTCCTTCTTATATCCAATCTAAACTTCCCCTGTTTAAGTTTTAACCCGTTACCCCTTGTCCTGTCACTACAGTCTCTAATGAAGAGTCCCTCCCCGGCATCCCTATGGGTCCCCTTCAGACACTGGAAGGCTGCTATGAGGTCTCCATGCAGCCTTCTCTTCTCCAGGCTGAACAGCCCCAACTTTCTCAGCCTGTCTTCATATGGGAGGTGCTCCAGTCCCCTGATCATCCTCGTGGCCCTCCTCTGGACTTCTTCCAACAGTTCCATGTCCTTTTTATGTTGAGGACACCAGAACTGCACACAATACTCCACGTGAGATCTCACAAGAGCAGAGCAGAGGGGCAGGATCACCTCCTTCAACCTGCTGGTCATGCTCCTTTTGATGCAGCCCAGGATATGGTTGGCTTTCTGGGCTGCGAGGGCACACTGAAGCTGGCTCATGTTCATTTTCTCATCAACCAACACCCCCAGGTCCTTCTCCGCAGGGCTGCTCTGAATCTCTTCTCTGCCCAACCTGTAGCTGTGCCTGGGATTGCTCCGACCCAGGTGTAGGACCTTGCACTTGGCATGGTTGAACTTCATCAGGTTGGCATCAGCCCACCTCACAAATGTGTCAAGGTCCCTCTGGATGGCATTCCTTCCTTCCAGCATATCAACTGAAACACACAGCTTGGTGCCATCGGCAAACTTGCTGAGGGCGCACTCAATCCCACTGTCCATGTCAGCAATGAAGATGTTAAACAAGACCGGTCCCAACACCGATCCCTGAGGGACACCACTCGTTACTGGTCTCCAGCCAGACATTGAGCCATTGACCACAACTCTTTGTGTGCGGCCATCCAGCCAGTTCTTTATCCACCGAGTGGTCCATCCATCAAATTGATGTCGCTCCAATTTAGAGACAAGGATGTCGTGTGGGACAGTGTCGAATGCTTTACACAAGTCCAGGTAGATGACATCAACTGCTCTACCCCTGTCCATCAGTTCTGTAGCCCCATCATAGAAGGCCACCAAGTTGGTCAAGCAGGATTTCCCCTTAGTGAAGCCATGCTGGCTGTCACCAAGCACCTTGTTGTTTTTCATGTGCCTTAGCATGCCTTCCAGGAGAATCTGCTCCAAGATTTTGCCAGGCACAGAGGTGAGACTGACTGGTCTGTAATTCCCTGGGTCATCCATTTTCCCCTTCTTGAAAATGGGGGTTATATTTCCCTTTTTCCAGTCATCGGGAACTTCACCTGACTGCCATGATTTCTCAAATATGATGGCCAGTGGCTTTGCAACTTCATTAACCAGCTCCTTCAGGACCCGCGGATGGATCTCATCAGGACCCATGGACTTGTGCATGTTCAGATTTTTGAGATGGTCTCAAACCAGATCCTCTCCTACAGTGGGCGCAAGGTCTTCATTCTCACAGTCCCTGCATCTGCCTTCCCAGACTTGGGTGGTTTGGTCAGAGCCTTTGCCAGTGAAGACCGAGGCAAAGAAGTCATTCAGAACCTCAGTCTTCTCCAAATCCTGTGTAGCCAGTTCTCCTGAGAGCTTCTGGAGGGGGCCTATGGTCGTTCTCCATAGTCTGTTTTTTATTTGCTATGTACCTGTAGAATCCCTTCCTGTTATCTTTAATACCTCTAGCTATGTTTAATTCCAACTGGGCCTTAGCTTTCCTAACCTGGTCCCTAGCTTCTCGGACAACATCCCTGTACTCTTCCCAGGCCGCCTGTCCTTGCTTCCACTTATTATAAGCCTCTTTCTCCATTTGAATTTTCCTCAGGAGCTCCTTATCCATCCAAGGACGTCTCCTGGCCCTCCTGCTGCACTTCCTTCTGGTTGGGATGCAACACTCCTGAGCTTGCAGCAGGTGATCCTTGAATATCAACCAAGGGCCTTGGGCCCCTCTGCCCTCTAGGGCTGTATCCCATGGAACCTTCCTAAGCAGGTTCCTGGAGAGGCCAAAGTCTGCTCTTTTGAAGTCCAGGGCAGTGAGCTTGCTGCACGCTCTTCTCACTGTCCTGAGGATCTCAAATTCAAGCATCTCATGATCACTGCATCCAAGACTGCCCTGGAGAGTCACATTTCCAACAAGTCCTTCCCTGTTGGTGAGCACGAGGTCAAGCATGGCACCTCTCCTTGTCGGCTCCTCTATTACTTGCAGAAGGAAGTTGTCTTCTACACAATCGAGGAACCTCCTGGACTGCTTGTGCCGGGCTGTACTGTCCCTCCAACAGATGTCAGGGTGGTTGAAGTCCCCCATGAGAACAAGGGTCTGCGAGCGTGAGGCTTTTCCTATCTGTCTATAGAGTGCTTCATTCGCAGGTTCTCCTTGATCAGGCGGTCTGTAACAGATCCCCACAGTAATGTCTCCCATAGCTATATTCCCTTTAACCCTGACCCACAAACTCTCTGTGGACTGCTCACCTGTCCCGAGACAGAGTTCCATACTCTCCAGCCTATCCCTAACATAAAGGGCAACTCCCCCTCCCCGCCTGCCAGGCCTGTCTTTTCTAAAGAGCCTGTAACCTTCCATTCCAACACTCCAGTCACAGGAGCTATCCCACCATGTTTCTGTGATGCCTATTATATCATATCTCCCTTTCCTGTTTCCTCTGAGAAGCTGGAAAGCCCAGACTCAATTGTGATCTCAATTAATCTAGTTTTACATTGCTGTAAGTTTATCCACATCAACTGAGTTGTGCATAATTCATGCAGATGCAAATAAAATCAAATCCATACCTGGTATGACCCTGTATATATTATCTTTTTATTGGAAACTTACTTTTTTCTTTTACCTGAAAGAGTACCCACAAGTAGGCGCGTATATTCAATGTTTAAAAATTACCCAACATCATCTTCTACAATGTATGTATTGACCACTATTAAACTATAGTTAAGACCTATGTGAAGGATTAACATCCAGTACGGGAGATACTTTAAAGAGTAACACTTGAAGACTTTAAAACAAAAAAGAAAACAATGTCTCATCTGCATTAAAGCATGTACAAAAATAAAATGTTGAACTTGGAAACCCAACAACTTATGAAACAGAATATGGAGTACTGTGTCTTTCTGCTTTTTCTACAAACATGGTAAATCCAGAACATATAACTAGAATTCCTCTAAGGATAACAAACTACAATGTTTTGTTTTTAAAAAAAATTAATAGAACTTCGCTTTAAAAATCTGTTTTCTTTTCAGTCACCATCCCAAAATATTCACCTGAGAGGAACAGCTCCCTAAGCACCTTACTTCTGTATTCAGAGTTGATGAAGATCAGGTAAACCACCTGACAAATCACTCAAATACCTTAAACCACTAAATGACCACATGTGACCCTTACAAAAACTTAAATTAGTGATAGGTATTTCAGCCTACTCTTATTGATCTCACTAATAAAAAGATCCTTTAAAAGTGGACAAAAAGAGCATCCCTGAAAAATGTGCTTTTCTTCTATCACCTAAATTCACAAATTTAGGATTTTCTCATTTACTTTGCTCTGCATTTTGGAATGCTTACTATTGATGGAAGACTTGCTGTTGATGAAGATTGTACTCTATGGGTGCAATGCCAATCCACAACTTAATTTTGAAATGAAAGTGTTGGAATAGCTCCCACCAGGCTAAAAAAAAAAAAGGAATCAGAGAAATATCCAGAAAGAGCTGCTTTTCAAAACATCCTCTAGGAACTTTGTTCCTACTAGCACCATAACCAATATTTGTTGGAAAAAGCAGAAGTGGAAAGTCGCGTGGCCAAAATTTGGTGTGATGTACTCTGGGCCTGTATGTGTGATAGAGGACAGCCAGTGCTATTAAATAAGACAGAAATCTTCAGCTGATGCATTGAGAATAGAGCAACTTTATCAATTGTTATAAAATTTCTTTTTTTCTTCCTCCCTCATGGCCAATTCCAAATATCCAGAACTATCTGCTGTTCTTTATAATAAATCTGTCATAAATTATCTCCATCTCAGCATATATAACAGTCCATTTACTTTTAAAGAAATATTTTAAAGCATGCTTTATAGAAGGTAATGTAAAACAGTCTAAGCAATAATGTAATTCAACAATCTCTGTTGTTTTCTGCCCAGGGGCACTTACTGCTTTCAGCAGCATCATGCAAGCCAACAAGCCCATATATTGCTTGCACTGTCAGCAGGATATGCTAATTGTGAACCCTGAAGATTCGATGTATTAGACAGCATGTACTTAATCTGAAACCCTACCTGACTGTTTGCTAATTAATTTGCATCCAAAATGATCATCTTATTACTTTGGTACTTTGTATAATCATTTTCTGTACAGCACAAAATCTATCATATTAAAAGTGCACAAGTATAAATGCATGTAACTTAGCATCTAAGGAAAACTAAAATCAAGTGTTTTCAAACTATAAATACTCTGGGATATTTTCCTTCTCAGAAAGATAAAAACTGCAACATAATTTTAAGGATTCTTTCTGGAGTTTTTGGATATTGTCATTATTGTTAGCTGTTCTACTAATGTTAATTACATCATTACATGATTTCCCATGGATAACAACTTGTAATTCCATCTATTTATTCTCTATAGAGGCAGAGGAACACAGTAGATTAGGAGGCTGTCAAGATGATAAAATGACATCAAATGCAAATTCGGATTTGTAATACAGCATGCAAGATTTGGAAATGCTACTTAAAACAGAAGCAGTAAACTAGCTTCAGGCACTGAATGTATGCTTCAGGCAGCAAATGCTCGAAAAAATGCAAAAGCATTAGAACATCTGAAGCAACAACAAAAAATTTTATCTAAA